GGAGGGGAAGAATGGAGAGCACCGGAGAGAGTGGCAAAAAGAAGAAAGAAAATAGGAGAGCGGCTGATGCACTTTTCTTCAGGTGCAGGTTATGGGAGTCGGCGGGAGCTGAGGGAAAATGCTGAGCATTGTATCTAGAGCTTAACAGGTGTAACAAATTCTAGGAGGTAGTCATTTGCCGGGGCTGCTGCCTATGCAGTCGCTGCTTTTAGTATAATAGAAATATGAGAAGTTGCCCAACAGGGAGTGCATCCAGAATGCGTATGTTTGAAATGTAGAGTGAGCGAGGCAGGAGGAGATGAAAGAAGGGGGGAGACAGGAGCTGGATGCTGTCTACTACTCTGGTTATCCCTCTGTGGTTTTTCCTTAACAGTCTCTCTGAATGAGTGAAATTCCCCACTGAAACTTTGAATTAATTCCTCTTTGTGCCTGAGTGTGTACATTAGTCTTAATACATCCTGTTAATATAGCCTGTAAATCAAGCATAAAGCACTGAGAATGAGCGCTTGCATTTTGACAAATAGTCTCAATTTCAATTAATAGGACCATTTAAGCTCAGAGGAGAGGGTGATGGGCGCATTCACAGCCGCTGTGAGGAAAAGAGCCAGTTCACTCTGAAAACATCACACACACTTACTACAACTCTTGACAGGCACACCCCATCTCTCTTTCAGCATTAAAGGCAGACAACACGACAGCACATTCAAGGATTACTGCGAGAGGATCCAAGCTGATGGGGCCGCTGGCATAATTGTGATAAATGACGGCCTTTTGTCAGCGTGCCGCACGATGAAGCAAAGAGCACGCTTGAATATGTTGAGGGGGGGAGCGTTCATTCACTTCACCAGTTCCAGTATGAGGCAAACATCAAACATGCAATTTTCTGTGACTGCAGAATGTGACCCGATGATTGGAAAGGTATAAATACATCTAATATTTATGGGAATGCCCACAAAACGTCACATCCTTTGTCTCTGAGGAAGAAAACAAAGCATTTGCTACCATGCTGAATAAATGCTGTGCACATCAAATAGATTTAAAAGTACAGTGTTTAAGGCTATTTCTTAACCTGGACCCTATTTTCCCATGTTTTTATGTCTAAATGACTAATGGGAGCAGATTTTTTAAAAAGCTGGTCCAATATTGAGCGAGAGCAGCGATGCCATGTTACCACTGTCAATTTACGCCCACCGAAGTGCTTGTTTTTGGCACGGACAGGCTCAGATTGTTACTGCAAGTGTCTGGCAAGATTATTGGAAGGATTCCTGCAGAAATAGACTTTTTGTTAAACAGTTGTTTTACCAAAAATAGCCCTGAAATCACTGCTGTCAAACCCACGAGACTCCATTTAAATAAACAGTAATTTTATCATCTAAAACAAACTTCATTTAGAGCTGAAAGAAATGAAATAAAACTCACAAAAACATCTTGGTTTGTCTTTCCACTGTTCCAATAATCACTCACTCTGGTTTGGTTGAAATAAACCCTTAATTCTCCCAGTTAGATGTGAAAATATGTTGAATTTATGCAAGCTAAAATGGCTGTTTATGTAAATTGGGTCTGGTGGGTTTGGTCATGGTGATTTTGGGGTCGTTTCTGGTTGATAAAAAAGATCTTACTCTTTATCTAGACAGGGTATGGTTGTTTAGCCGCTGGTAGGGCTGCAATATTAATCAGAAATATCGAAATTGCAATGTGGCCAAGTGCAATATCCAAATTGCGGCAGCAGCAATTTTTGGATACAGGTAAAATGTGTCACAACAATCCATTATAAATGAAGCATTATGATGCTAAAGAGATGCCCCGGCCTACAAATCATATCTCCAGACACAAAGGAGTCTGCTTGTTTGGTGCAGACCGCAGCAAAAAACACATCGTCATCATCATCATCATCATCATCATCATCATCATCATCATCTTTGTATTTTCTTTTCAGCGAAAATTAAATGCAGAAATAATCATTTCCACTAAAACTGCAGCTCGCAATGCATTCCCAGTATCTGTAAATGTGAAATATCTATACAAGAATTGCAATATGCAGTCTGAGCCAGTGGTTAAAAAAAATTTGAGCCTCCAAATACTTGTAGTTCCTGAGATTGCAAAGCCCTGCTCGATATCATGATAGCACATCGTCATAACAGGCTAATGTTGAGTAATGTTGGCACTGCCATACTGAATTCACTAAAACCGGCAAATCAGTTACATCATAGCGTTAAGACTGTAGGGTACTGACACTATTGTAAGTTTATTTTATCATATCTACAGTAAATGGAATAATATTTCTCGTGAGGTTAAAGTGGGTCCTTTCTCAGCATGCACAGGCTGGGGGGAAGGGACTGATTCTCCCCTTGCCATCTCTGCCCTCGCTACACCCACTAACTATGATTAGACAGCGACTGTATCTATACTATGCAGGATTGTGGGTTACTGTTTGTAAACAAAGCAAATACCAACCCCAGATTCACTCTCATTTGGCGTTTTGCCTCGCTATATTTGCATTTTTGCAGTGCTGTGTCTCTCGGATGCCAGCAGTTGCGTATGGTCTGGCACGTGGACGCTACCATTTTATAAAGCTCTGACCTCACCCGACCAGTGTGGGGCTACACGACCATAATCGTCCTGAACGCAGAAAATAGGAAGAAAATAAGAAAATACAGTCAGAGGGCAGAGAGAAAAATGCACCGACACACACGTCAAGTGGGTCAGAAGTGGTGATTGAGAGGGATCACTTCTGTGTGAGTCTGTACATTGCTGCATAATGTACTTTAATATAGTGGAGGTTTTGAAACATGAATCAGTTTTTTGTCCCTACGGCCTCTTTGCCTTGAATAATTTGGACTGACTCCTTCTATATGTGTGTGACAGGCTGCCAATAATGCTCCCACATATTAGCCAATGAACTGTCAACACCAGGCGAGTATGAAACACTTTATTAGTTTGCGCTCTGTCCTGGAGGTGTAGTTGACAACAGCTGAGGAATAACTTCACAGTATACAAATGGCGTATGTCCAAGTTCCACATGGTACACATGACGTGCACGCCTCGTGACAATGCAGAGGCTCGTAGCTCCATGAGGAAACAAGGCACTTGGCTGTACTGTACATCCTCTACACCTGCTGCTCTGACCCATAATCCCATGATGCCCGAATATTACTACACCCACATGTTAACACATCAGCGAATGAAAAGTTTCATTCATTATTCATAATGGAATCAAAAAGTTAACTCTTTCATCTAAAGTGAATAAAGGGATGTAAGTGGTCGGACAGGCAGCTGGCCAGGTTTTTTTTTTTTTCCCCCTTCTTTTTGAAAGTGACTGACAGACTAGTACAGACGACAGCAAAACATGAATTTTAAATGTGTTTTGAAACAGTAAAGGGATTACTTACATTGATATTCTGTCTTTGTAAACAATGTAGTAAAATAGACCTGTACTGTAGTTTGTGTGGCAATAGGATTACGATGATGCAAAATGCCCATCGTTAAGCCCCACCACCGAGATGATTTATTTATGGAAACAATGTCTCTCATAAGTAGTTGGCATCTTGAGTTATGCACATTTTGTTGTGTTAAGATCGCTGCGGGGTGCTTTTAACATTAACAGCAGAAGTGGTCCTAAAATAAATGTGACTACACAGTATGCATCTCGAAAAATCATCTCTAGTTGACGTTCGTATTCAGCATTTAAATCAAATAAAAGATATAATTACACCGAAGACACAGTTTGGCAGGGATGGGCGACCATAAGGCCCATGAGTCTGCAGGTTTCCACTCCAACCAAACACCACAGTGAGTGATTTCACTGATTAATATTCCCTGCCAGACAACTAATAAGTGATGTCAGGCGGTGTTCCCTTTTGGTTTGAATGAAAATCTGGCACCACGACACTTGTTTTGCCCACACTTGGCGTGGGGACACTCCGCTGGGTTGCGAGATAAATCTAGGAGGTGAGGAGAGTACTAAAAAGATGGAAAACATCCTCCTACACACATTATTTTTTATTTTCTTCTCTAACTTTTGCTTTTTTTATTGTGGAAAAACAGCATAATTGATCTCTTCAGACCTCTAAAATCTATCAAGTAAGAAAAGTCTAAGAAGGGAACATCACTTGTAGTCGTGGTAGATGTTGATTTAAAGGGCTACCAGCCAGAACGGTTTGGATCCACTGGGTTCAACTCCACATTGAAATACTGGAGCGCTGTGAGTGTGAGTTTTACAGGCAGATGGCTTTTGAATCATGGCTCTGTGGTACTGAGGGGAAAAATAAATCATCACTCCTCTCTGTATTAAACTTTTCTCTGTGAAAGGTCCCTTTAAAGTGACAGAAAAAAAAGTACAGTAAAGGTCACAGTCTGTATTTTGGCACCTAATGGCAGGCAAGCGTTGATCTAATTTTCCCCACAAATCACATGACCTGAACTTAAAGAAACAGTGTGTGAGATTTAGGGGGATTTAGTGGCAGCTAGCGATGAGGACTACAGATTACAACCAGCTGAAACTTCTCCTGGTTAGAATTCCTTCATTGTTCAGGAGGTTTTACCAGGAGTTGAAAACAAACTGACCTGGTGATTTAAACCAGTGAAAAACTGAATAAAGCAGTTTAATGTTACAAATCAGTGTTTTTCCGACACTGTCTGGCATGTTGGAAACAGGCCACTAGCCCAGCACCTGCTAATGTGTGCTCACCTTTTCTCTCTGACAACCAAAGATCCAGATGTTCAGGAGGTTTTTACCAGGAGCCAAATTATCCACAGAGGTTTCTCCCTCCCCAAAACAAACAGACCAGGTGATTTAAACTGATAAAAATACTGAATAAAGCAGTTTCATGTTAAAAAAAAACAGTGTTTTTCCAACACTGTCTGGCATGTTGGAGACAGGCCACTAGCCTCGCATCTGCTAATGTGTGCTCAACTTTTTTCTCTGACAAAATAAGATCCAGATGCTTAGGAGGTTTTTACCAGGAGCCAAATTATCTTATCTTATTATAAACTAATGAAAACATACTTATTATATTCCGTTTCTGCCAATATATCCCCTTAAATCATACATACTGAACCTTTAAATTCAACAAACAAGTAAACCGCAGATGAGATACTGTATATGGAGTAGCAAGAAATCAGAATTAAAAAGGTGTCTCAATGCAACAACTTAAGACAAATCTGTGGCAGTTTGAGAAGCTGTGCGCGGATTAAAGGAGGGAATAAACATTACTAGACTTCATACATACACTTCTGGAATACTCTTTACAGGCTGATAGATGTGTTCACAGTGTTCAATTTAAAAAATACACTCCCACAAATCACAGCAATACATTTTGAGTTATTCTTAGCACAACAAAATGTGCAGAAAGCAAAGCTTGCCAAATGCATTTCCACAGCTCTGCATTAGAGCCATCACTGTTGTACTGAAATTCAATACAAGTTATCTGTTTGGATGTGATACAGGCTCCACTGGTCCGAGTTTTAAAGTGTGGGTGTGATCACATGCTTTTGTGCATGCGTGCCTGTTCAGAGTGACTCTCTAGAGTTCATGGGAGATGAAAGAGGGGCCCAAGGGCGTCTCTGTGGGCTCCAGGGTGACGTGGGACAGAGTGTGGCTTTGGGAGCGGGACAGTGAGTGATAATGGGAAGGAGGAGCTTTCCCCTGGGCCTGGCCCTCTCCCTGCTCTGAGCTCTGACTTGGCAGGGTTGAGTCTCCTGGTTCTGCTCCAGCCACAGTACCAGCTCCTGCAGCACCACGCTCCTGCTTGTGTTTCTCCCAGGCTGAGCTCAGCTTCACAACCAGAGCCAGCAGGTTCTTCCCCAGGAACACGGTGGACACACGGGGGTCCCTGTACCACAGCATACCTGTGCCCCTCAGGGCCAAGGTGAAGATGTTGATCGTGACCAAGCTGAGCCATGGGTACAAAGCCTCCTTACGGGGCCCCCTCTGTCCAGGCAGGCCGGTGGCCCCCAGCTCTGTGAGAGCCACACATGGCAGCAGCAGCAGGAGGGCGTAGCAGTAAAAGAAGACCAGGCCCTCGGCCCAGATGGGCAACCTCTGCTCAACGACTCCTCCAGTCCCTGCTGCAGCCCCACCTTGGGCTTCCCACAGCCCCGCCTGCAGGTCCAGCACATCCAGCAGGTCCACCACCACCCACAGGAGCCGGCCCCGCACCTCCTGCTTCCTGCGCTGCGGAGTCATGTGGTCAGCTCCCGTCAGGATAAGAAAGAGGGAGGGCAGGCAGATGGACAGCAGCAGCGTCAGCGTCTTCCTGGCCAGTGGGTCGGGCGGCCGACGCTCCTGCCTGTAGTTGTGGCAGACGAAGAAGAGCTTGAGCTGGAGCAGGGACAGGAAGAGGAACCAGAGGGCGTTGGCAAAACCACGACGTGGCGACCGTGCCTCTGACACCACGCCGGCTGACACGAAGCGCAGAGCGAGCAAGAATCCCACATCACCTAGCAACACTGCCGCACACTGCCACACGCCAGGTCCTGGAAGCCCACGAGCCCCCAGCATGCTCTGCTCCAGCAGGTAGAGGTCGACCACTGCCATCGTGCTCACTGTGACCAGGGTTGATACGCACACCTGGGGCGTGGGCACCATGCCTGAAAGAGACATACACACATGCACAGTGGTAAATCTGTTACATTGACAGAATTTAAACTCTACTCACATCGCTCCTCACAGTGCCATCTGTCCTCAGTAAAACCGACAAATTTGCAGGATAAGAACACGCTTGTTTTTCCTTCAGCACTAATTCAAAACCGAATGTAAAATAGTTCGATTCTAGTTGCTATGGTTAAAGACATTGGCTGCCTAGTAAGCAGTGAGCGCCCTTCATCTTTGGCCAGAGCTACATCTACCCTGGCTGCCCAAGCTGAGAAGCCTGTTAAATTGTGTTTTTTTTTTCCTCCAACTCTGCAGCTCTTTGAATTAAATAGACTTCATTTTCCATAAAGGTCCTAACATTGCTTCTTTTTGATTCTCAGACTTTCCCCAAGTTCTCTGCTGTTACTTTTTCCTGTGTATTGTTGTTGTCTCTGTTCTTTTTCTGTACTCGTCGTATTCATTATTAATTAATTGCGCTCAGGCGCAGCTAGGTGCCCTGTCAAAGCCTTTTCTTTGCCTCTATAGTCTGCCATGTTTATTCTCATACTGTGCTGCAGTCTTTAATCATCGCAAATTCCCCTCTCATTTCAGATGAATATTGATAACTTGCTATTTGTTTGGAGATGCGTTTGACTCGCGTCTTTGTGTGTACACACTGTGTATGTCTTGGAGGGTGCATGCAGGCAATGCTAATTTGCCTAAACATGAGGGTTCATTCTTTTTGTTGCAGCTCATATCTCAGCCACGGACAGTATAAACCTCAGTATTGACATTGCATGAGGAACGATCATTGACTTTACAGTGTAATCTAACCGACGTCTCTTTATCGTATTTAGGTGAAAAGCACAGCACAGACCAGTGGACTGTCTTTTATCTGCTCAGCACCACTCGGGGGTGTCAACCCCTCAACCGGATCGATGACATTATAATATAAAATCACTACCAGCTCAGATGTGTCGTAATGGCAACAGTTCAGCGTGATCGAGCGGGAGATTGTCAGCATGATTGCGGCCTCTGAGAAAAGTCTGCCAGTGAAAAGTGTATATTGATATCTTGCCGATGGAAGACACATCACTTTCCTCACTGTAAGACTAACAGGAGCTCTGCCATCTCCTCGGCGCTGTCTGAATCATTGAAGAGGGATGAGGAACTCCACTGGGTAAAAAAAGAGGGTTTGAGATCGTCTGTGTGTGTGTGTGTGTGGAGTAGGAGAATGAGCATACGACTGCAAGTGAAAGATTAATAGGCCTCTTGGCTGTCTACATGCCTAATAAAGTGTTACTGCGTGATGGTAATAGTTCATAAATAAGCTCAGGGGGAGAGGGGGTGAAAGTGATGAAGAGAAAAAGACTCAAATGCAGATAGAAAGTGACTTCCACCCACTTAATATGAAGACATGCAGTTCATGCGCCAGCTTGGCCTGGATGAATCCAAATGTATTCATCATCGCGGCCATTGAAATATCACAGACATTAGAGTTTGTTCTGAAACAGATGAATCAAAGAGATGAGGAAAGGAACGATCGCGACTGATTAATCTGCTCGGAGGCATGGTGGGAGGACAGGCGTGGATCATGCCAGCATTCGTAATATCTGATTGTCTATGGAGCCTTTTGTCTCACCGCTTACTGCAACTTGATTGCCATTCCCCCAAAATTGAATGAATTCCACCAAGCCGCAGATTGAGAGGATATTGGAATTTAAATTTTTCTTTCTCGGGGAACAAACCCAATCAGCAAGGGAGGGAGGGATGGAGAAGTTTTACAGCTACAGTTTCAGCTGGCTTTCTCTCGAGGTCGTGCCTCTTAAGATATTCCACCTGCGCCTTAAATTTCACCCTGGAAATCTCCCTGTCTGTCAGCTTGTGTTTGTGTTTTGACTCCCTGTCAACCGCGAGTAATTTATTCTGTTCTGAGTGAGGGACTGGGATGACAGCCCGTGTGTCCACTCCGCTCATCAATAATGACCAAATTCATCATCCTCCTGTCTGGGGGAGTGACACTGCCGCTGACAAGGTGAGGCAACCTACTTCACTGTAAGCATGAGTAATGGCATGTAATAGTGTGTAGGTGAAGGATTTATTCATTTTTATGTTCTGATTTGTACTGAAAATCCTTTTTTTCCCCAACATCTTTAAGCTCGTGTGACCTCAGCGCACATGGCTCTCCCTCCATCTGCACCATGTGTCTATGTAATCATCCAAAAAAAGCTCCCAATTTCTTTGCAGCACACACTGACAGAGATAAAGCAAAGGGGTGGGGTTGCCATTTGTTCTCTATTAATATTGGGTGATTTCCAGGTTGACAGAAATCCATGTAGAGCAAAGATTAATTTGTCTACACCCACAGTTTATCTCCACAAACAGCCCCCCCTCCTTGGAGCTCCCAAATCACATCAAAGACCAAATCCTCCACAAGTTATCACAGGTGCCACTGGAGCACCAAGGGCATCGGGACAACATCTATGCCATTATGTGCAAACTAATTAATTAATAGAGAGCCAGGCAGTGTGCAATCCCTGATAATGCACTGCTGAATAATCCCCTCTCCAGACTAAAAGCCACATGACTGAAACATCTGTTGATTTGTGATGTAGCAGCCCAAGTGTTGCCCGAGGGTGGATTTTTGTTGCATTTTTATTTACAGAGTTATCACGTTATTTTTTTCTTGAAAATATCATTAGCTGCCCCAGCATGCAGTGCGACGTCTTGCATCCTCTGGCAATTTAACAATCTCTATGAAACGGCTTCTCTGCAACACCTGTTTCATAACTGCCCTATTAACAGCAGGTACTGTGGCTTTATCCGTGCATGGCTGGTAGTAAAGTGAAGCTTTAGTTACCCAAACCATTCGTCTTGCACTTGGGCTCGATCCTTTCTGGCTTGATTTGCAGCGCGTAATGTGTGTTTTTTCCTCCTCCAAGTAGAGGCGCAGTCGGTGACCAATAAAGTCTCTTTTATTGTCGTTGATGAGCCGCGCTCGGTGATAAAGTCCTCCTCTCACAGTCCGGGTGTTTGTATAGAGTCAGGCTGCAGGAGAAGGCTCATCTCGAGGCTGTTTCAGGGGAAAGTCATCGCCACTGCCACACCAAGCAGACCCCGAGTTTGTCGGAACAAAAAAAAAAATACCCGGCTCATACTTATCAAGATTTCCCCCCCTGTGCAGATCTGGCATGGCCGATGTCTCCGCGGTTATTGCAGAGGCTCGATGTGAATCTGGATCTGTCACCTCCCGCAGTGCCGTTGTCGGTTTATCTTTTCGCCCAGCAGCGGGGATCAGAGAGCCGTGCAGGGGCTCGCTGCTGCTGCTCGGGCGGGCTCCGGCTGTGCGGAGCAGCCGGGGGAAGTCGGTCAGAAGTGGAGCAGCATCAGCAGCAGCAGCGGCGGCGACGCGGCATCGTGGAAAGTGGAGAGCCGCAGCCCGAGAAGATGGCTCATGAGAGAGAAGAGAAGAGGAGAGGAGAAGAGGACGAGGAGAAACTCACTCACGCTGTCCGACTTTGGTTGTGGTGTTAATTTGTAAGCAGGTTACGTGCTCCGCTCCAGACCTCCCACCCTCCTCAGTTTCTCCTCCTCTCCTGCTTCACCAGCAGCTGTGGAAGTTAAGCTGGGAGATGCTATGAATATTTGAGAGCACCCGGTTACAGTATACTCATTGGTTATGGTAATCATGATGATGCCACTTGCAGAAGATTAGTTACATTGTTTGGGAGCAGGCGGATACCTTATTTACCCTTCCTCGCCTGAAATTAGAGCGGAGGAAGTGGAGCGAAAGATGCTTGTAGCCTGTAGACACACTTAGAGCTCAGAAGGCAGATGTTACAACTTTAATTAGTCCTCCTTCTGTCTACTTACTGTCTTAGTCACACAAGGAAATCATCCCTCTGTTGCAGATTAACTCATTACAGCCGGCTTACTGCCGCTTAAACAGAGGGATTGGGAATTTGGTCCAAAATGAATCTTTTGGAAACTGTTTTTAAAAAAGAAAAGCTGGCTGCTTTCCAAGTTTAGGAATTTAATTTTGGCTCCTTTGTTAGCCACAGTTGCAATTTGAGGAATTTCATGGCGTCACCTCTTCCTCGAGGTCCTGCTTCTTCAAGTGTATCTGAAGGCGTTCCAGCTTGCACTTTAGCAAAGGCTCAAGTCCTCAGCTCCCTCGTTTCTGTGGCTCTCAGTTGTGCCGGGTTCATTTTAGACTGAGAGGTTTAATCAGACTGGTGGGGAAGGGGATGGAGAGTCATCTTTCTTGTCAGATTCAGCTCTGCGCTCCGCTGGCTTCCAAGAGAAGGAGAGATTTTCCATTTTCCTCACTTCAGCGTGCTTTTTTTCCCTCTTTGTTCTTCTTCACCCGTCTTCTTGTTTTGGCTGGCTTCTTGTCACCCCTCTGCTCATGTTTATCCCATTCTCTCCTCCATCCTGCTACTATCCCCCCATCTTTGTTTTTGCTCCCTGTGGGTGTGGTTGAAGGTCATTCTGCACACTGGCTCACTTTCAGGGAGGAGAGAGAGAGAGAGAGGGAGAGCGTGGCAGGGAAAAGGACAGTGAGAGAGTAGTGAGAATAGCAGAGGAGGGCGAGGGGCAGCCAGGCGGGCAGGCTGTCCACAGTACTGTGCAGTCATCACTTTTCGCTTCAGACATGATTGGGGAAGTTTGGAAGGACACATGGGGTTACAGACTGTCCAAGAATGCTAAAGGCGTCAACACTGAGTCATGCTCCACATCAGACCCGAGGCTGACCTCTACAAACATGGCAAACGCGGAGGACTCAAACCCCCTCACCTTCCTGCTTTTGGCTCTTTCTATCAGTGGCATCTCAGAGTGTGAGGTGTTGCATTGTCACACCCGTGATGGACAGTGCAAAAAGATCAGTGCAGCAGAAATGGAGTATCGTCCTTCTTTATTCCATGCATTTCTCGTCCTTGTCAAAACTTGGCGCTTATATAACCCACAATGCAACTCAACGGCTGACAGTTCAGTCTGACCCTGCATTCATGTTGTGTTGGAATAATCAGAAAAATAAGATCCCAACTGGAAATAATATCACATGAACGCCCCCCCAAGTCGAAACAACTCGGAAAGTCTGCAAAAATTTTGACTTGACGTCATGTATTCAGGATTCCCACAGTCACAGAACTCCTGGAAAAGTTATGAAATAATTAAAACTGTTTTCCAGGCCTGGTAATTGTTTGGAACTAACAGTATGTTTTGGAAAGTTGTGAATATACATTGATTTGATAAAATATGTCCATAAAAATCCCAGAACATGTTTACCAACACATGAAGTACATTTCTAAAATCTAGTGCTGTGGTGTGTGACTGTTGAAATGTCACTAGAGTCACATGATTGGTGTTTGCAGTAGTGATAGGCATGAGTACACTTGTTTGCCCCTCTCACATGTGAACATGATTTTTATATGTATTTTTCACTATTTAAGATGGGTTAGAATGTTGTGTATTGCTTCGTTCATCCCCTCCTTGCCCCGCTGCCCCTCTGTCTCTGTTTATCCTGAGACTACTGCTGTGGGAGTGTGAGCCCCACACCTGGGGACAAATGGTGAGAGTACACCTGCACACACATACACAGCGACAGGGCTTACTGTTGGCATGGCTCGGCTGACGTAACGTACCTGTTATTAACAGGTTAAATGACAAAGTCAAGCTGTTTCGATGTCTGTGTGTGTTTGTTGGGACCGTTAAACTCTGCTGCTGCTGCTGCTGCTGCTGCTGCTGCTGCTGCTGCTGCTGCTGCGTTAGCTCGTGCTACTTGGCAGACAGTTAACTGACTCTGGAGAGAGACGTTCATTGACAGTCCTTTATTGCTGCATCTAACCTATGCAAACGGCAGTGACAGAAGGATGGCTTTTTCTCATGTTAACTAGTAATTGGTTTAATGGACTAACTGAGGCCTGGTTGTTCAATAAATTTCCATTTCCTGTTGTAGGCCAATATGCATTCCTATTCTTACATTAGTTCTTTTTTTTAAGTACTCAAGTACTCTATTATAATTTAATGCCAGTACTTGAATATGGAAGATACTTAAAATGCCAGCTAGTTAGCAGCAGGAATGTTTTACTAGTAAGATGGCTAAAGTTAGCAGTTTGCTTATCCACAAATGCCATGGAAGTGTGTGTTTAATAATGTATGGCTTTCAAACAACAAATATAATACATGGCTCAATAAAGAGGCAGCTTCTAGTCCTGCTGGATATAGGCTCTGAACCAAAATGTTTGACAGTGGCAACATGGAGGAATTGGCTCCAGTCATGCTAAAGGGAAAAAGCATCAAGACAATCAAAAGGCTGCTCAACAGAGCACCAGTGTCAGCACATATCCCACCTGCTGTAGCCAGGCCTGATAACATTACTGCCTTGTGTCTACAGTGAAGACACTTTATTCATTATCCCATGCTACATTTGTGCTACAGTTCCTGTTGTAGGGCAGAGCACACTGGAGTAAGAGCCTCATTATTGCACTAATGATGAAGCTCTTATTAATCCACATGTTGCATAGTATTAGGTTGTAATTGTTAGTTGCTGTCCACATGTAGACTGTCCTTGAACGGTGGTTCCCAACTGGTCCAGCCACAGGGTCCAGATTTCTCAGTAGTCATCAGTTCAAGGTCCACACAGTTTAATATATTCAGTGTCATACTTGTGTTTGGCTATGTTGCCAAGCTGTTTTGCTGTCTCTCAGTTCTTCTCAAAGTCAAGGATGCTTCCTTGAGAGGATGGGTCCTTCCAAGTTGGGTCCTACAGAGGCTAGGCAAGAGTCCTTCCCCACATTCGATGAACACACATTGGACTAGGCCAGCTAGTGCCCAGGTGTGCATCATTAAAGAGATCCCGCCTTAAGTTCCAGCAAATCGTGCATAAAGAATTGTGGGTACTTCATGCCTGCTGAGGATACACACATTCATCCTTGACAGTTCTCTGAAGGAACGACACAGTCCTCGGCTGAATTTGAAGGATCCTTGACATTGGAACAGTCCTTCGGCAGGATTCGATGATGTAGCCTCCTTGAAATTCAGTTGTGTAAGGATCCTTCCTTAACTTTGAGAAGCTCCGTCTGTCAAGTAGCTGTCCATTAGTCACTCACTCTACAGCAGGAAACAGCACTTTAAAATAAAAGCTCTGTGCTGGAAATTTACTCTACTTCAAAATAAGGTGTGTTGTTTTTTTGACACATTTGTGAGTCTGTTGCGGTCATTTATTAGCATGGGACCATCCAAGGAGCACGTGAATGCAGCATGAAATTTGGGTGTGTTATGCTAATAGAAGCTAGCTTGTGACATCACTTGAGGCAATTTATCAGATTTCTCGCAGCTCCCTCTGGAGACACAAAAAGCTTTATACATCTTGTTTGCATATGCAGTCATCCTCCCCAAGACCCTTAAACAAACTTTGATGTGTAAAATCGATGATGTTCCCTTTGAATAACACCTTTTTAGTGTGCAAAATTCACTATTGTCCCTTTTGAAAGCTCCACAAACACACAACACAAACCGCCGCTTTCAGATGCTGTTGCATTTTCTTCTTTTTTCCAACCCCTGACTCTCTTTCTTTGTGTGTCTCTCCTCTACTTGTCAGCGTGTCTTGTGATTTTTCAGACATCTCCTGCGTGGAGCCTCAGCTGCTGCCTGCAGTTCGGGCTCCTGTGTTTCTGCTGCAGCCTCCACACGTGATTAATCATGTGAAGTGGCAAAAAGCACAACACTGTCAAGACTGTGAGGGGGACCTAATGGAGTTGAAAATGGGATGTTTTGTCGTGATGCAATCCATTTTGTTCCACACTTCGGCTGCTTGCTTTCTTGCTTGCTTTCTCCATGCCCTCAAACAGCAAATTCTTCTTCCAGTGCCAGGTATGAAAAAAAGTGAAGGCTGCGTCTATTTTAAGCAGAGATCCAGACAGCAAAAGCACCGCTAAGGAGTTTTGGCTTGTTTTGGTCGCTATAAAGATGATTCTCCGAATTTGGTTCGCTCTGTCAGTTCTGCACTCGGGCCTGTGTGAGCGGCGCTCCTTGGGTCTTTTATGCAGGTCTGTGTATTGGCCTCAGCACAGTTCACTGGAGACGGCAGGCGAAAATCGTTTTCATTTTCCACTTTTAAGACTAATCCACTGATTCCAGGGTGGAAAATCAAGTAAAATGCATGTCCAGCGTGAACTCGATTTATTCTGTGCGGTGCTGTGATGCTGCGTGCATCTGTGTGTGTGTTAGACCTAAACTGGTCTGCTGTTCAGCCTCTCAGTTACCCCCTCTGCAGCTGAGGGGTTCAACATGAAACCTAATCAGCTGTATGACGCTACAATGGGGCCGAATGTGATAAAATGCCAACAGCGAAGCAGATTAAATGAACAAGGTAATGAAGGTAATGAATGAGAGTGTTTCACACTAAAGAGTTTAATTAACCTCACCTCCCACCAGCCTCTCTCCCTCTCTCTCCACTGTAACACCTTCGTCTCCGTATCGCAGCCCTTCACCGTGTCGATTGCCCCGGGGCAATTTATCAGGTGGCCTTGTGTGCCAGGGGCAATTAATCCTGCCTCCTGCCCCAAGGCCTTATCCTGCGCCTGTGTCCTTTATCTCCATGTTTGCCACGCTTCCATAAGCACAATACTTCTCTTGACCTACTCACCCTCTCTTTCTCATCTCTCCTCCTCCTCCTCCTCCACTCTCCCTCATTTCTTTTTTTTCTTCCTTTTCTCTCAGATGCAGAGACACCTGCGACCACACACAGTGAACACTTCCTCACCGTCAGCAGTCCCTGGCAGCTTAATATGCACACATATCCACTCTTCAACTGATAGTCTTGTCAGATAGAAATGAGGCCAAAGTATTCATACATAAACATACACACTCACCCATATTCATGAGGACCTCCCGCGGCCTTTCGCGTTACTTGTCTCCTCTCCTGTTGTTCATCTCTGTTAAACAAACCCCTTCTCATTGTTCAAATATTGACCACGACAATCACTGGCCACATTCTGACAAGTTTAATACACCTCAGCTGTCTCTTTCTTTTCCCATTCCTGTCTCTGCT